TCTGCATATTCAAAAAAGTCTGCTCATCTTGCTTAGAATTTATTATTTTGTCATCTGAGTCTTAAAACTTTTTTTAAAATTCATTTTAATTATTTTTGGGGGGACAGCGTTTTTTTAAAGTAGACCTGGGTAGACTGGAACTCACGCTGTGGCCAAGCTGACCTTGAGCCTGCCATGATCCTTCTGCCTCTGTCTCTCAAGTGCTGAAACTGCATCTATGCCACCAGGCCCAATCATATCAGCTTTAAAACTTATTTCAACATTACATTTATTTGATTTATAGCTTTTATTTTCATATTTAATTTCATAACATAAGCTTTTAAAGTTAACCTATATTTTCTTCACAAGTACTGCTTTTGCTGCATTTTTACTCCATATTTTACTTTAAATGAATATACTTTTTATTATTTAAATTTGGGGTGGTAGTTGACACACGGTTTGTCTGTGTTCTAGCTGCTATGGAACTCACTCTATAGAGCAGGCTGTCCTCAAACTCAGGGATCCACCAATCTTTGCCTCCCGAGTGCTGGGATCAAAGGTGTGCACCAGCACCATCTGGTTTATTATTTAACTTACTAAAAGAAATTTTGGGAGCAGGCCCAGAAGTAACACATTATCAAATGAAAATTTAAGTTCCAAGAATGAGTGCTATGAGTTATGGGTCAGCAAAGTCCCAAATGTCTGAGGAGCAGTGCAGGCTACTGCCACTGTTCTTGGTTGCCTGTTGTAATGTGGTAAGACCATAACGCTGAAGACACCATATAGTTGGCAGATATAGAGAAATAAGTTTAAACTGACTGGGAAACTCCTTTCCTGTTGGCTAGCTTACATATTTCCAAAGGTCTATATAACTCCGTGGAGAGAAAAGACATCAACAGTCTTATTTATACATAATACATATACATAATCCTCTAATAATAAAATTTATTATTTGTTAAAAGAAATTTTAAAAGAATTCCAGACTTGAATTCTTTTTCATATGTACACCAGAGAAATAGCCCTCACAGTTGGCTGAAAATGAAAGGTGATACTTAACTGAGTTATATGATTTATATTCTTTCTCAGTGAGCCTGAGTGGTGAACTCAGAGAACACTGTGAGACACAAGATACCACACTCAGCTCTCAACATCCTAGGGCACAGGCTCACTCAGAACATAAGCCGTATACCTGAGAGATTCAATCAAACTCTTTACATACCTTGAATTGATTCTTTTTTTTTTTTATTGAAAACAGAGTTTTTCTCACATAATATATCCTCATTATGTTTTCCCCTCCCTCCATATTTCCCGGATCCTCTTCTCTTCCCCTCCCATGGAGATCTACGCCCTTTCTGTCTCTCATCAGAAAATAATTTTTTAAAATTTTTATTTATTTATTTATTTATTTATTTATTTATTTATTTATTTATTATGTATACAATATTATGTCTGTCAGAAAATAAATTTTTAAGGGATAATAATAGAATAAAATAAGATAAAAACACAATTCATTGGAGTTGGGCAAGACAAAGAGAAGGAAAAGAGCCCAAGAGAAGGCACAAAAACCAGAGATCACTCATTCGCATACTCAGGCATCCCCTAAAAACAAACTGGAAGCCGTACTATATACGTCGAGGGTGTGGTACAGACCTGAGTGAGTCCTGTGCATGCTGCCTCAGTCTCTATGAGTTTGTATGAGCTTTGTTCCTGCTAATTTAGAGGGCCTTGTTTCCTTGGTGTCCTCCATCTCCTCTGGCTGTTACACTCTTTCTGCTTCCTCTTCCTCAGGGTTCACTGAGCCCCAAGGGGAGGGATCTGATGGAGATGTCCTGGTTAGGGCTGAGTGTTCCCAGGGCTCTCACTCTGCACATACTGTCTAGCTGAGGGTCCCTGCATTTTCCTCCTCTGCTGCAAGAGTGACCTATGAGTATAGCAGAATGTCATTACTAGTCATTTTATTGCTGCTCTTTTGTGGTTTCACTTTTGTTTTCAAAACAGTTGTGTTTGGTTTTATCCTAGGTCGTTGGGCTTTCTAGTCTCTGGTTCTTGATCATCCAAGCAGTCTTGGTATGGGTTCTTCTTGTGGAGTGAGCGTTAAGTCAAGTCAGATCATCAGTTGGCTGCCAACACAAGCTTTGTGCCACCATTGCACTAGTTTACCTTGTAGACTAAAGGATCTCTGGCTGGGTTGATGTTTACATTTCTCTTTTGCGTGTGTGCAGAATATCTTCCTGTATCACAGGAGTTAGAATGTAGGGGTGAAGATTATATGTAGGCACTAGCTCAACTTCTCCATGTTCAGTGAGTTGTGTAGATAGTGTCTTCAGCAATGGGGACTTGCTGTCAGTTTGTGGAGAGCAATCTTGGCAAATGCCTGAGTTGTTTGGGGACAACGACTCAATTAGATCTAACCCAGTACTGGAAGCTTCATTTGGTGACAAGAGATGTTCAGTTGTATCCCGGTCTCCCCCTTTATTTGGTGATTTCATTTAGATTACTTTTATCTATGTATATATTTTAAGAAGCTTCTACTGTATTAGGTTTCCACACTACCTCTCAATTTTAGCTGTCTCTTCCCGTATCCTCTTCCTTGTTCATTTCTTTTAGATTTTCCAATTTGGTATAGTACAAGTTTTTATGTCCTTATGAGTCTTTAGTTTTCTTTCAGAGAGAAAGAGAGAGGAGGGCAGGGAAGAAGAGGGGGGAGGGAAAGAGAGGAGAATGGGGAGAAGAGAAAGAGATGAGGGTGAGGAGGTAGAGGGGGAGATCAGGGAGGGAGAGAGGAGGATGGGGAGGAGAGTGGGGAAGAGAGGTGGACAGGTTTCCTTTGAGCTAGTTACAATGTTACCTTTTGTTTGTGGCTTGCGGACTTGCTAATGCAGAACTGTTTTTTGCCCATTTTCCTCTTTTCTGGATCAATCAATGATACTTTTTCTATTTTATCTTGTTACTGTTTTTGTTTAAAAAGTCAATGATGTTCCACAGAAAGATTTAAAGCATGTATATATATCTACACAGTAGCTGCCTTCCCTGTCCTTTCCTTCCCTTGGTGATGGATGGAATTTCCAAGTGCCATCATCTCCCTTTAGGTTAAACTTCCTTTAGTGCTTCTCAAAGTGTGGATCTACTGCTGCTGAATCCCCTCATCTCTGAATGTCTCAACTTATCTCGTCTTACTTTTTGAAAGACATCGCCACTGTGGATACTGAAATTACTTTTCTTCCAATAATTTAACGAAGTCATTTGTCCCAATATCTTTTCATCTGCCTGGTTTCCAAAAGCAAATCTTCTGTCACTCTTACCTTTGGTTCTCTGTAAATCATCTGTCCTTTTGTTAGAACTGCTCTTGTTTTCTCTTTATTCCTGGTTATGATATATTTGCATAGAAGAATTTTTAAAACATTTATTCTATTTTTAATTCTGGTCTGTGTGCGGATATAGGTATGTGAGTACAGGTGTCTACAGGATCAAGAAGAGAGCACTGAAGCCCTTGAACTGGAATTACAAACCACAAGTGAGTTACTGAATATGTGTGCTGGGAATCCAACTCAGGTCCTTTGCAAGTGCAGTACCTACTCTCACTCACGGAACCATGTCTCCAGCCCCCTCTTCTTTTTCTTGCTTTTGAAACAGAGTCTTGTAATGTGGCTAACCTTGCTTCTGAGGTGCTAGGATTAGGGTTAGAATGAGTGCCACCAGTAGAGGCTTGAATCACTCTTTAAGGGATATACTTTCTAGTTTTTTTTCATGTTTGATAATTTTTCATTAAATGCCAGACACTGAATTTTACTATGACCTAGATTTTTAAATAACATTTATTTATTTTGTATATAGGTGTTTTGTCTGCATTGACTTCTAGTTCTGCCCTCACTGGTGAGCTTTCCCACTGTTCTTTCTTCTGCCCTCACCCCCAGGGCACTCCCCATCTTCATGTGAAACAGAAAGCCTCTTACACTACTTAACACACATGCTGCCACAAAGAGGAAACAGCTTTTCTATTTCAGCTTTTATTGACTCCTTGAACACATCACCCAAACTCTGAAATCACCCTGGCCTTTGGGCTTCAGCTAATGGCTTCCATTTGTCAGACCTTTAAATCTATGCTTCCAGCTTATCATTTCCACCATTTTAAAGCTCACAATCCCAACTGCCTAATGCATATAATCAGTTGGCTTAGAATCGCTGTACCCATGTCCCCTACACAAAGCTCAAATACTTGAGAAGGGGGAGTCTGGGGACCAAGAATACTAAATAACTGTTTTGTTCATAACTTTCAATTAGTTTCTCTAAAATACCACGTTTCATGTTCCTTACTTCTGAAAAATAAACTGTAGTGGATTCTTTTATACTTGACCCAGCGATACCTACAACTCTTACAATCAGATCCTGATCCAGCGATACCTACAGCTCTTACAGTCAGATCCTGACCCAGCGATACCTACAGCTCTTACAATCAGATCCTGATCCAGCGATACCTATAGCTCTTACAGTCAGATCCTGACTCAGCGATACCTACAGCTCTTACAGTCAGATCCTGACTCAGCGATACCTATAGCTCTTACAGTCAGATCCTGACTCAGCGATACCTACAGCTCTTACAGTCAGATCCTGATCCAGCAATACCTACAGCTCTTACAGTCAGATCCTGCAGTATGGAAACCAAACAACTTCAGTGATTTCCCAGGGTTCACAAAACTCCGAGCTTGTCACTTAAGAATCATCAATATCTGGTTTTGTAGCAAATGGCTCTGCCCTGTACAGTTTGCTCTTTCTCACACCACTTGTTCCACTGGTCTCGTCTTCTAATTGTAACAACTCCTACCTCTTTCTGGAAATACGGTTATACTTTAACAAACATACACTCATTAAACACTCTCTAAATTCTACTTGGTTCTGTGGACAATTTTCTGTGTATTTCATGTTCCTCCATGAGTTCTCCCCACAGCACTTAGCAGGGTGTCTGGCACTTGGAAGCTCAGTGAAGTCAGCTAAAAGAATTCGCACACTCACGCATCCCTTACCTTGGTGATGTCCGTGTGGTCTTTGAGCCCGTTGGTCATGCACCAGTAGCGCCACACATTTAGGGCATACCTCGTGGCTTTGGTGGTGTTTGGGCTCACTGCACTGGTACACAGATCATTCAAGTCATCATTAATATTAAATACAGGAAATTTGTTGAGTTTAGTAGAATAAGCTAGAAACAAAAACAACAGAGACATTATAATAATTTGCCATTCCCTTCTTAGTGAGCTTCATTCTGGATGATATTAAATTAAAAAGAACTCTAAAAAGACACTTAAGAAGTGAAATTTTCTAGCCAGATGTGGTGGGGCACACCTCTAATCCCAGTACTCTCTATGGAGTGGAGGACAGCCTGGTGTACAGTGAGACCCGGTCTAAAACCTGTTTACATGTACAAGAACCCATGATCACTTGGCCATGTGCACTAGCTGACACTGGAAAACATTTCAATAATAGGATGGAATTAATACTAAAAAATTCTAAAGTTTTCACTAGAAAATATACCATTTCTATTAACAGCAGCAAAAAAATGAGAAGTTGGAAAATTAAAAAAGATTTCCTGGCAGGAGGAATGTCACAGGAAAGGGAGGAGGGTCACAGGAAAGGGAGGAGGATCACAGGAAAGGGAGGAGGGTCACAGGAAAGGGAGGAGGGTCACAGGAAAGGGAGGAGGGTCACAGGAAAGGGAGGAGGGTCACAGGAAAGGGAGGAGTGTCACAGGAAAGAGAGGAGGGTCACAGGAAAGGGAGGAGGGTTAATCATCTTCACATAAAGACTCGTCATCTCTCTGTTAATACGCAGCTTCAAATTTCTTGTATGCCATCAGGATCAGCGTTGAATTATATGGAGCTACAATCCTCTTAACCCCTTCCTAGAAGGAATGGAGCACGCACACTGATACCCCACACCCACGCACATGGACACATGTGGGAGAGTTGAATTGATTTAAGCCTTGATTGCACAAACTTTCAACTAATTTTAAATCAGAATTAAAGATCAAATGGAAGCAATTATTAGGAAAAGGAAGGATACTCAGGGTAGGCTCACCTTCAGAAGAGTTTCAGAAAAAGTTTAAATTGCCAAAAAGAAAACCAAATCCATAACCATTAGCTGACTTTTCCTTACACTCTGGAGTGTGGTAAAACCAAGCATTCCTCTGAGGAATGTAGACTCAGACAGAAATGGGCTAGGCTTCAGTGAGACAGCAAAAAGATAAGCCAGTGCAGTCCACGAGCTGGCTTCATTTCAACTTGGTTCTCATGGTGCCCACTGAGGATCTCCTGTGTATCTTACTCCAAGCACCCTGGGGACCCAGAATCCTCTGGTCCACACCTACCCAAAGCTGAGAAATGCCCTTAGGTTAATCTTCATGTGTTATCTTCATGTGTTTTATCTGCATGTTATCTTTGTACCATGTGCAAGCCTGGTGCTCATGGAGGCCACAAGAGGGCATCGAATTCCCTTGGTACTGGAGTTACAGATGGTTGCGAGTTGCCATGTGGGTGCTGGGAATTAAACTGGGGTCCTCTAAAGAGCAACCAGGGCTCCTGACCACTGAACCATCTCTCTAGGCCCTCAACACACTCTTGTCAATTTCGACATCACTTTTAGAAGTTTTCTGAATATTAGGGCCTCCCTTTTTGATGTGTCACATCTGCCTTCTCATCCCTTGTGCTTGGATGGTATTGGTTTCTATGCTCCTTAGAATGATGACATCACTTTTTTTTTTTGGTTTCTCTGTAGCTTTGGAACTTATCCTGGAACTAGCTCTTGTAGACTAGGCTGGCTTTGAACTCACAGAGATCCGCCTGCCTCTGCCTCCAAGTGCTAGAATTAAAGGCTTGCAATATTATTTTAATTAGACAAAGATGTGTTACATTTGATTATACTGCAGAATATTACGTGAACTGTGTAAAGGTGTGTTACATTTGTTTCCACTGCATTTGTTTAATTATGAAAAGAGGTGTTGCTGTTTCACCTTGCCTGCCTAAGGCACCTGACTGATCTAATAAAGAGCTGAATGGCCAATAATGAGGCAGGAACGGGACAGATAGAGTTGAGAGGCAAAGAGAATAAACAAGAGGAGAAACCTAGACTCAAGAGAGTAGGAAGAACAAAAAATGAGGAGAGAACAAGGGAGACATCCAGGGTTAGAGGCCAGGCAGCCATCAGTCAGCAGACACAAGAAGCAGTTAAAGTAAGAAATACAGAAGGAAGAAAAGTAAAAACCTCTGAGGCAAAAGGAAGATAAAAAGATAGGTTAAGTCAAAAGAGCTATTCAGAAACAAGCCTAAGCTAGGCCAAGCATTCGTAACTAATAAAAGTCTCCGTGTCATGATGTGGGAGCTGGTTCACACACCTAACATCAATGGAAGCCTATTATGAGCCAATTTTTAAAACCTGTGTGTAATCAGTAAACAAGTACACAATCACACCTGTTTTACAGACAAGGCAATGGCTCATACACTCATCAGATATTTACCAAGGAACCGTCACTGTGCAAGAAGTGTACTGTTGAAACCACGAGCTAGCAAGAGGTAGATCCAGGCTCTAGACACGAGTTTGACGGCATGCTCTGGCCCCAACAGCAACAGTATCAAGTATTGTAATGACACAATCTCAACGAGAACGGTTTGGATAACTCTTTATCATGTTAAAGATATCCGGTTTCTCCAAATTTCCTTGGACTAACAATCAGTAAGAAAAATGGCTACAAGCTAGGTGCTGCAAACTGAACCTGGGTCCTCTGAAAGAACAGCATGTGGTCTGGAAACATTGAGCCAACTCTCCAGCCCTGTGAGGGGAAACCTATTTATGAGAACTTCATCCTCACTACTGCTGGTTGAACTCCACTAGTACAGCTCTGTGTTCACTATTACCTGCAAAAGTGAGTTTTGTCCAAATGTATCAAGTGGGAACCCTCACCAATAAATACGGAATTTCTATTAGTGCTGTAGGAATTCTTTTGGACAGCAGACTTTAAGGCACCACACCTCTTATACTATGAATTCCGACATAAAGCGTGTACTGTTTCTCAACCATGGCTTCTGAATTTGGTTCCTGTTCCCCTTCGTGCAGAGGACTGTGATCGGTGAGTCTACCCCTAAATAAATAAGCCTTTATTATATCCAATTCTGAGCTAGTGTGAGATTATTTTGTGACTTCCATCTTCATCTGGCGCCCATGTGAATCCCAACTCCACACTTATGGGGATAGGCCAAAAAAAGATCCAAAAGGTCCATGACCCAGAAGGTCTCCCACCTCCACCTCCCTGGCTTGATTTCATCTACTAAGTGGCTTTTTGCCAAACTCCACCACAGCCACAGTAGAGCTAGCTACCTTGTGGCAACTTGGCAATTTTTCAGGTTCGCTCATGCCTTCCTCCTTCCCCACCTCCCCCCCACGCTTGCCGCTTTTCCTGCTGTGCAGTGACTTGCACAGCTTCTGGTTTGTGTTCCCTTCTCCTGAGCTCTGGGCTCCTTGCTCCATTTATGGAATTGATTTAATTGCTCTAAATTTGTCAAGCAAAGCATATTTGTCAGCATTTAACCAGGCACCAACATGTGGAACCAATGCAGCAGGAACAGTATTGTGCCACCTGCTGGTCAATAAAGATTATTACACCTACAACAATTTACTGAAATCTAATGGCAGTAAGTAAATTAATAAATTTGAAAGTTATACTATGTGATACAATATTACCATTCAGGAATTTAATAACTTTTTGCTTATACTATGTATGGCATCCTGCAAGGCATATGTGATTTTTCTTATACATCCATTTATTTGATTTTGGGAATTAGTTTTGTTTTTTATATTTTATCATTAAGAAAATGGTTTGTTAACAGAGCCAAAAATGAGGCACTTTTAGAAATGATACAGTCTTTAGAGACTAATAATGAACAGTTGAAAAAATTAATACTATTGAAAAAGTTAACATTAATTTGACAGACAAAAATCCAATCAATGTCGAATGGTGGTGAGACATTATCTGAAAGAATTCATACTGTTGAATTTATCAATCTGTTGAAAAATTATGATAGGTTAACAGATAAGGTATCTCTCCAGGAAAGCAATATGCATGCCATCAAAATTATGTCCAAGGATTAGAAGTTATCTTTAGTGAACAAATTTTATACCTTGGAATCCTCAATGAGGGCATTAGAATGGAACACTGGACAGGAGATTCTGACTTTACAAAAGGCAGTGGTAAAAATATTTAAAAATTGAGAAAATTATTGAAACTGATGAGCAGGGAGAAAAGGTACAAGGACAGGGTTTAACCTCATCAATACGTGCCAGAGTCCAGGATGATTTACCCAGAGTTTTAGCTGCCTATCTGGTAATATCCTCTGAGAAGCCATCTGCCACAAAATACCCAAAGGTATTCAAAGAATATACATGAGCAATCTAAAAGAAATCAAGCAGGCAATAGTATCTTATGGCTTGCATTCACCATTTGTTAGGGAAGTGGTGAAAATGTGGGCTTCAAGCAATAAGACTACCCCACACATGGGGCTTCAGTTAATCTCAGTGGTCCTAAGAAATGAACCCCAGCTGCTATGGAAATGCTACTGGTGAGAAGAGGCAAAAATTTTAGAAAAACAGGAAAAAGCAAAAGGATGAGACTTCCCCAGATCAAATTCTTGGTGAGGGCTATTACTCCAATCATCAGGACACACCTTGTTCCTATAACTGCACAGCAGCTTTACTGCTTGGGACAGGATTCAGAAACCAGGTAATAAAACTGAATCATATAGCAGGGTAAAACAGGGCCAGAGAGAATATTAGTGACTTTTTACAAGATTAACTAAGGCTTTACAAGGAGGAGTGACAGACCCAGAAGCTAGACGAGTACTTATTGAATCTCTGTCTTTGGAAAATGCCAACTTAGAATGCAAAAAGACATTTGGACCATAAAAGGTTAAATCAGCACCAATGGGTGAATGGATCCTGAATACAATGAACGTCGAGATAGCTGACTATAATACTGAAGCTTGAGTAGGAGAAGCAATTTCTAAAGGTATGAGGAGACATCCAACAGTGACTCGGAGTACGGTTAGCTATCGGACGACATTGCGCAGTCCCGGGACAACAAGAAGAAAAAAGAAAAAAGAAGGTTCTGCGGCTGTAGAACTCGGACAGTTATGCAGGACGGGAGGTAGGCGCAGG